GTTTGCAGAAGGGGGTTTATTAATCCCCAGGGCTGGAACAAGACATCATGTGGGAAACCGCAGGTTAGTCCAAGTCACCGTGCACCCAAACCCTTCCCACTGCAAACCTCAAGATATTTAGCACGAAGCAGAAAACCCCACGAGCACTTCTCCCCAGCTCCAGCAGAAAAAATAAAATAACAGACTAAATATCGCAAGATTCACTGACTCTCAGGGCATACATCAGCGGCCTGCTGGCAGTAGCCTTATTCGCCTAAAGGTAGGACAGGTGAATGGCGGGGTCACAATAGATTTCAGGAGGTTGAAGTGCCCCCTAGCGGCTGCTTCCAGGATCGTCCTGAGCCAATCAAAGCCGCTGAGACAAGTTCGAGTCAGCTTTTGTTCACAAGTGTAAAAGAAGAACAATGGGGTCCTTCAGCAAATTAAGGCAGATCTTGCCCTGATAGCAGAAAAGGAGAAACTGAGGGTGTGTCAGGCAAATCATGAGCAGACGTGACTCGCTGGAGAAAAGGATCATGCCAGCAAAACTGGAATGCATTAGGAAAGAAACGGGCCGATCCCGTGGAGGAGGCCACAGCTTTGAGCTCACAGGAGCAGTCCAGGGCGGCCCTGGGAGAGCTGGTGTGGAGCATCGGTGAAGAGTGCAAGACTGGGATCCAGGCAGTCTGGGTTCTAGTCCCCGCTCAGCCCGGGAACCCCCTGAATGACGCTGGGCCAGTCACAGATGCTCAGTCCAGCCTACCTCACAGGGTCCTTGTTGTGGGGATAAGATGGAGAGGAGGAGGAGGAGAATTATGAAAGCCACCTTGAGTTCCTTGGAAGAAAGAAAGGAGGGATAGAAATGTAAATAAATAAATTAGCCGGGGGGCCACACATAACGGCAACATTTAACTGCTAGCTCAGTACCATTACAACACCCTGAGACCAGGTGCAGGTGCAGAGGGTGATCAAAGCAGATTCCACGTTTGGTTTAAACTGCCAGCAGCTGCTGCCATTCGGCCATCAGGGAGCGAAAGGCCTGCCCGGGTCTTGAGATGCACAACCAGCTCCCACCCCCACCCACACCGAGGGGGCAACTCTGGGCCCTGGCGGAACTTTCCATCCTGGGCCGGACTTCATGCTGTTCTCAGATGCCCCCAGCAAGCAACTGGTTCAGAGCCTCTCCAGCCAGGGGGAGTGGCCCAGCCCAGCCCAGCCCAGCCACTAAAGGGTGGGAAGGCAAGAGAGGGAGGATGAGATGTTCCCAGCCACTTTTGGTTACTGCCGGGAAAGGTTGCCCCAGGGCACTAGAGCCCTCAACAGAGAAAGGTTTCTGCTAAAGCTAATACAAACTTGGACTCACATTGTGTTTAAATCACTGAAATAGCCGTTGCACCTGATCCAACACGGATCAGGCTGCAATTTGGATTCCTGAGCCAATTCTGGGTGCCCTGTTTTAATAAGGATTTTGACAAGTTGGTGCAAGCAGAATGGGAAGAACCTGACATGGGTAGCAGAGAAGAGAAGATGAAGACCTGCTAGCTGTCTTCAGATAGCTGGAGAGCCAGGCTCAACACTCAGTCACCCACACTATTGTATTCCCGATCACCATGTATGGCTGCAAAAGCTGAGCCGTGAAAGAGCTGACGGGGAAAAATGGACGCGTGCAAAACCTGATTCTGGAGGAGAACTTTGCAAATACCCCGGACCAAGAGAAAGATAAACAAACGGGACCGAGATCAGAGCAAGCCAGAACTTTCCCTAGAAGCCAAAATGACAAGACTGCGCTGCCGTACTTTGGGTATATCACGTGAAGGTGCAACTCCCTGGAGAAGCCCATCATGCCGGAGAAAGTTCGAAGGCAGAAGAACGAACGACCAATCTTGGGATAACAATGCGCTCTCGGTGGCTCCCAAAGGCAGGATTAGGACCGGTGGGTGGAAATCGCAGAGCAGCAGATTCTGGCTGAACACGAGGAGACACCCTGCAAGGGCTGCTGGGAAAGGTGGCGCATCCTGCTAAGCATTTCAGCTGGGGCCTGCACTGAGTGGGGGCTGGAGCTGCGGACCTCCAAGATCCTCCCCATTCTAATTGCTAGCTCAAGACCCTTGCTCACCACCGTGTGTGGTGAGCCAGCCAGGCCCTCCTCTTCACTGATATTCCAGGGCCATGAGTCATCAGATTCTGAAGAAGACACGGAGGAGGAGGAGGAGGAGGAGGAGGAGGGAGGGAGGGCAGGAAGATCAAAGGGGGCAGGAGCCTTTGAAGCTGCCTGCTCAGAGCAAGGCTGCCTGCAGTTTTGGAAGAGTGGGGAGGGGCTGCAGGAGAGGAGAAAGACCAGCTGCCTTACCTTGTCCCTGACCCTGTGAGAGCGGAGCCACCCAGCCACCCAGCAAGAGGGCCAAAGGTAGCAGGCTCCAGCCTGGCTGAAGCGGCGGGGCTGGGGAGGCGGTTTGGGCTGAACTCTGCACAGGCCTTCGGCTGCTTAGAAGGCTATTTTGAGAGACGGGGTCTTGCTAGCTGTGGCGACCAGCCCTGCAAGGGGCCGTCTGGTGTTTCGGGGCCTGAGGTGGAGGAAGGAAAGGCCGGGCTCGCAGCACCGCGTTCTATTTTAACAGGCCTCAAAGCCACACTGTCCTCTTGCTATGATGAGACATCCTCTCCGGTGAGGGGCTAAGCTCAGGGCGGCCACTTAGGCACCCCCCACCGAAGATGAAATGCACTGCCGAAAAGGAGGGTGCCAAAGTGTACGTGCTCACGTGCGTGTGTAAACACACATTCAGAAGTAGAACGCAAAACGTAACCGAAAGACGGGACGTCTCAGCTGCGGATGCTCCTCAGATTTTAGCCTGCAAATGGCCAGGGCGGCCCTTCAACAAGGGGCTGTGAACGAACACGGAGGGACAACCCATGCGGATGGCTAACTCAGGCTTGCACGCTAACCTGCACAGGACGGGAACCTCCTGGGATATGGGCAGGAGGAGCTCCGTTCGGGGCCAGATGGCTAGCAAGGCCCAGAGGCTCTGGAGGCCCCAGATGGCTGGTTGCCCAGCTTGGCTTGATGTGAGCAGAGCTGCGCAGCTGGAGCAGAGGTTGCAAGCACATGAATGAATGAATGAACGAACGGCGGCCCACGTTGCGTAACCTGATGAGTGCAGGGCTCCCTGGCCAGATGCCGTCACATCCTGGGTCATCAGGACGTGGGCGCAAGAATGCGCTCGACTGCGAACACCGGGCGCTTGCTCCAGCTGCTTTGCCAGAGCCAGATTCCATTGGAGGCGCACATGACAGAATCCAGATCCTTCTCCTTTCTGAAAGGAACATTCCTTTCTTCCTGCTGGGGATAAGGCTACAGCCTTCCGGAATGATCCTGAAATCCTTCAAGGGAGCTTCCGTCTAGCAAGAGCAGCACGGTGGCTTTCAAGAGTTTAAATGTGTTTTCAGAATAAGTTCTCATTGATCATCAGCTATGGATAGCTTGAAAACTAAGTTCAGGGAAGCCATGGCCTTGAACTCGAAGGGACAGGGCATTATGGGATTGCCGTAAGTCGGAGACGACTTGACAGCCCATAACAATGTCAACACCTTACCCTTGTTAAACATGGCTGGGCACCTTAGCTTGCAGTCCTGAGCATGTGTAGACAGAAGGTCCTACAATTCCCAGCATGCCCCAGAGGGCATGGCTAAACAGGAGGCGCTCCATCTTGGCTGGCTGGGGCATGCTGGGAATTCTAGGACCTTCTCGTGTCTAGACATGCCCAGGAGGGCACTTTTAGAGCGTTACCCTGGCAAAGCAGAGGCGTTTTGACTTACAAAAGCTAAAGTCTAAAAGGTTCTGCTCTGGCAGCCCTAGTCAAGCCACCCCACAACAAGGCTCCATTCGCCTGCCCGGCTTCCAACAAGGCCGGTGCCCCTATTTGCCGGCAGTGCCCCACTGCATCCTCCGTGGGGCAAACAAGGCAGCCTCCACACAGAGGAATCCATGGACACAAGCCCCATTCTGCGCGCGGGGACGTTCCAGGGACCCCCCTCCCCAGTCACCAGCCACGCATCGACCAAAGGACACTGGCGCAGCGGAGCCCTTCGGGGAGGGGCGCGGCTCCCTTTCCTTTGGGCTGAGCAACTGCGCCCGCCTCTCCCGAGATATCGCCCAACTGCCTCTTGCACATGGCAGCCATTAGGGGCATATTCCCTACGCAGGAAACAGCGCGATCAAGAACCCAGCAGGCCACGACCAGCCGAGCCCGGGAGCCTCCGCCTCGACCGCGCCGGGTCGCGCCCCGCAGCGGGCCCGTCTCGCGAGCGCCCGCACTTCAGGCCCCGGGGCCGCGCGGTGGGAGGCCGGCCGTCCGCCCCGCAGCCGGGTCCGCGAGGGAGGGAGGGAGAGGGCGAGGGGTGTGCGCGGCGCCCGCGGGCTGGAAAGGCGCCCGCGTCTCCGTGGCGGCGCGCAACGCCCCGCACGTTCCGCGCTCGCGCGGGAGGGGAGCGCCGGCCCACCGCGGCGCGGCGAGCGGCAGGGGCGGCCCCCCGAGAGCGGGCCACGAGCCGGAGGGTCCCTCCCAGCAGCCGGGCCCCCCGGTGCCCCGCCGCGCCGCGCCAGCGAGGCCGGGCCAGGAGCGCAGCGTCCAAGGGAAGCGGAAGGGCCGTCCCGGGAGCCGGCGCCTCCAGCCTCCCTCCGATGCCCAGCCCTGGGAAAGGAGGAGGAGCGGGGAGGGGGCGGCGCCGCCCGGCCATGGCAGAGCGCGGCGCCCCGGCAGACAAAGGGGGCCCGCCGGTGGCGATCTGCCGGGGGCGCCCAAGGTCGCCGCAGAGGTGAGTCGGTCGAGCGAGGGGAGGAGCGGGGACTCGCGGGGCGCACGACCCGGACAGGCCGCGGGAGCTCGGTCGGTCGAGGGGGCGCGCTGCGCGTGCCAAGCGGCCAGCGATCCTGGCAAGCCCACCGGGCGCGGGGCGGGGCGGGGCGCGGGTCTGGGGCTCGGCGTCCGGTCGGGGCGACACTGCCTGCCCTCCTCCCTCTCGCCGCTCTCCCCTTATGACTGCGCCCCGGCAGATGGTTCACCCCTGGGGGGCAGAGACCCTGCAGAGCAGATGCTCCTCGGTACCAGCGCCCGTGCCCGGTGATGCGGGCGGAGAAGCGCGCACAAACCCGCGCCGCTTGCGGACGCTTCGGCAGATGGGCGGACAGGTACATGAGCCCCCGCGCAGCGTCCAAGCGCGACGTGCGTGGGTCTTGTCGCTTCCCTGGTGCGTTTTCGCGCTTGCCCCTCGGCTCAAGGACGGCTGGAGGCAATTTCGCAAAAGCCAGGGTGCAAGCGATAAAACAGACCCGCGTGAGCAAGCTCCTAAAATCAAAGAGCGCCAGAAGAGGCTCGGCAGAAAAGCACAGCTGTTGTTTTCTAGACCAAGATCGGTGGCAAGCGCTCCAGCCTACCCACTGGACCTGGGATGGGGACCCTGCCGCGAGGTGCCACCCCGCCAAAGTCACCACTCCGGGGCGCGTTGCGAGGGAGAGCTGCCTGCACAACCGCCCGGAAGGAAGCAAGGCCCCTGTAGCTCTTTCAGAGGCTTTTCCAAGTTTTGACAAGAAGAGGGAGACGCACTGGGACCGCGCAGGTGAGTGATGCGCGGAAGACACCGAGTCAGATTCCCAGGATGTATCAGGAGGATCCCGGAAGGATCCTTGGAGGGGACGCCTACAGCAGAGCTCTGGACACGTGTTCACGCATGCAAATAATATATTCAGATAATTGGCGCACACATACAGTGTATATATAGAGGAAAATGACAGCAGTGGGGAGAGAGGGAGACGTTTCACATGCTGGGTATCTGAGAGGTGGATTTGTTGATTTTGCATTGCTTTTTGGAATCTTCCGCCTCAGGGTGGAAACATTTTAAGTACAAGGAGAAAGTGGGCCAAAAAGAATGCCCCCAGAACGTGGAGTTTAATCACAGTGTTGTCTGCTAGGAGGAGCGAAAACATTTGAAGCTTTTCAGTTTTCTCTTTGGGGCCCTTAATAAGTGGCAATGCTAGGAGTGAACTCGGGATGTTCTGAGGTGTATCCCCTTCTTTGTAAGCTTCTTAGGGAAACTCTGAGTGAGCCTGCAAAGGAGGCTGGAAATTCCCACCAACACTGAGAAGTGTGCAAGTTCTTCGGTGCGTGAGACAGCCCTCAGCGGCGTGCAGGTTTCCACTGGGGCTTCTCTCTGAGGACTCATCCAAAGGACTTGGGCTCGTGTGTGTGTGTCTCACTAGCAGGCAGGCTGTCGGCTGTGTATGCACGTGCACGAGAAACACACGTTTGTCTCCCAAGGATCAGTAAACAAAGCAGTCTTCCTCCAAACAATGGAGTCGGTCAACAGGCTCCATAAAGCAGCAACCTTTCCCTGAACACCAGTGAAGTGTCAAGAGGCCGGGAGAGCGACCCAGCTCACAATAGGCAGGCTGACCCGAAGGAAGGCGCTCTGATGGCAGGATCCGACTTTCTTATTTCTTTTCGTGCTTTTCTTGTGTCTTTCTTCCTCGAGTGTGTGCAAAGCAGCTGAGGTTAGATGAGCCCCCGGCTTGCTGAGTTCCTTTGTTTGCCTTTTCGGTCCTGTGGGCAGGAGTCACTGGGAAAGAGGCACGGTCTCCCTCCTGGGTCACAAGCTGTCTCTGTCCTGGATAGCCACAGGGGCTAAAAAATAGGACACCCAGAGGGGTGTGCACCTAGCGGGTAATGTGCGGGCATTTGGGGTTTATGATGTTTATAGAAATGTGGGATGGGGAAGTAGCAGATTTAGCAGTGTTGGTTCCAGGATTTGAGGGGGGTGTCACGCCAGGTAATTTTCAGTAGGTAGAGCTGTACCTTGCCTGGCATGCCAACCCCTCAAATCTTAGAGCCAGCAGCTTTCAGATTCTGGGGGAGGGGGGCACTGGAGGCCCTTCAAAGTCTATCTGCAATGGCTCCCGTTGAGATCAGATGCGGTGAGACAGGTTTTCACAGAAAGGCTGACTGCAAACAGCCACCTATTCTAATCCAGTGCCCTCTGGTTGGGTTGAATCACTATTCCCATCATCCCCTGGCCAACCCATGTGCATAAACTGTGGCTTGGAATATAAAAACACACAAAGTGCGGGTTTTATGATGATACGTGTAGATTGTGTACCGACTTTCATGAACCTGCACTTGTTAAAATGACACAGACTGAAAACCATCTGATCCGCCTGGCCCTTGCCACAAGAACCGACTTGCTGTGGGGCAGCCCTCGTACTTGAACCCGAGCCCTTCTCGTTGCCCTTCTGTTGTATGGTGTCTTTGCACTCCCACACATTAACCTTTTGCAGTAGTGAGGTCTGTGTAACCAAATGCAACTTTGCGGCCAATTTTTGAGAATCCGGGAGGAAGTGATTGAGGCGCTGAAGACTCTCCTCCGTTTTACTGTTGTTGCAGCCATCATAAGAAACGCTAAGAACAACCTGGAAGATGTTTTCCTGCCCACCAGATGTTTAGACTACAATTCCCAACATCGCCAACTAGTATAGCCACTTGGCAAGACTCCTGGGAGTCGCATCCCCGAACGTCTCAAGGACATCATGTTGAGGAATGCTGACGCCAGCATCCCAAACTCACAGAAGTGCCATTAATCACATACTGCAAACTCAACCATGAGCTGAGATTTGTTGGGCGGTTTTTGCCCCCTTTTTGCTCACAAACTCAGCTTCGCTCTGGAGCCGTTTCCTGATCATCTAAAAAAGCAGTGGAGGAAGGTGTGCAGTGAGAAGGAACAGCCAGTGAGTCACGTTTCGGGGATCTGGAGTGGAAATGGGGGCCCCCCTGCCAGCGCAGGAGGCTGCCTTGCAGGCCGCAGAGCAGGGCCAGGTGTCGGTTCGCTCAAGTGAACTGGGCCTGGACTCGGCATTCCGCTCACTGCGCTGTGCTGGCACGGGCTTTGCGGGGCGGAAGGTCCAAAACATGGGAATCTCCTTGCTGCCAATTGGTGCTCTAGAAGAAGAATCAAAATGGCAGCCTTCTTCTGGGGAGGATGCCAGCGTGTCTACACGTGGCCCTTCCCCACTGTTTCGGCCTGGAGCTTTCTGGGGCTTCAGACCCACCTCTCCCTCTCTCTGCCTCTCCCTCTCCTTCTTTCCATTGCAAGGTGTGAGCGACCATGAAGCTCAACGAGCGGAGCTTGGCCTTCTACGCCACCTGCGACTCGCCCACCGACAAGGCTGGCTTCCTCTGCAAGAAGGGGGAGCGGAACACCGCCTACCACCGGCGCTGGTTCGTGCTGAAGGGGAACATGCTCTTCTACTTCGAGGACCGGGAGAGCCGCGAGCCGGTGGGAGTCATCATCCTGGAGGGCTGCACCGTGGAGCTGTGCGAGTCCACGGAAGAGTTTGCCTTCGCCATCAAATTCGACTGCGCCAGGTCCCGCACCTACATCCTTGCGGCCGAGAGCCAGGCGGCCATGGAGGCCTGGGTCAAGTCCCTCTCGCGGGCCAGCTTCGACTACTTGCGCCTGGTGGTCAGGGAGCTGGAGAAGCAGCTGGACGAGATGCAGAGGAGCCTCTCCGGCCGCCACCGGGTCCAGAGGCGGGCGCCCCTCTGCCGGAAGAACAAGACGGCTCCAAATTTGGACCAGGTGGCTCTTGGCCCTGGCCTGCTACAGAAGACGGTCCCCATCTGCATTCCAGCCAAAGAAAACGGCTGTGCGTTGTGGAACAATTCCCCAGGGCCAGTCAGCCTGCCCGGGGGAAACCCCCAGGAGAGCGCAAGGACCTGCGGAGGTGGCAGCTACGAGGAGGGCCTCAAGCCACCGCCGCTGCCCCCTCGGAGGAGGGCCCTGTCGGGCGATGCTGCCGGGGCCGCTGGAGGCGCCGGCCCCAGCAGCCCCGTGTACCCAAGCACGGCCTGCTTCTCCAAGCTGCACGACTGGTACGGCCGAGAGGTTCTCGCACTGCGGCGGGCATGGCTGGAGGGCGCAAAGGACAGCCGTCTTCGAGCAGACGCGGCGGCTGAGCAAGCGCCCTTGGAAACACGGAGCCGTGAGAAACGGTCACCCGCCGTTGTGAGTCAGACTCAGCTGCTGGAAAGTCTTCCTGGCCACCGGTGATCTGCGTGCTGTGCCAGCCGAACGGTTCCAGGGAAGTCCCGACAGGAGCCAGTGATCGATTGCATCCTCATTTCCTTTGAGAAGCGAGTTGGCAGCCCCGCCTGAGCCCTGTGCTTCTTTGATAAGAGTGATCCTTGAGGAAATTCCCTGTTGAAATTAAAACAAGGGGCCTTTGCAAATGATAAGTAAAGGGACCTGCTTTTAAAAGCAACTGGCCAGGTCAGAGAAAAATCAGCTGGGAAGGGTGGCGACCCACCACCTCTTCCTCTTCCTCTTCCTCTTCCTCCACGATTTCCGGACTGGATCTTTCCTGGGAGCAGCCAGGCTATTCAGCATCAGCGGCTGGGCACCCTGCATGCAGAACAGGGAGAAACCACACATTTTCCCTGTTCGTGGAGGGATTGAAATCTTCCAACGCCAGGTGAGTTTGACTCAGTCGGCTGTCAAAGTCTCAGGGGAAACTCACGATCTCCCCCGCTCTCCCGAGACCTATTCTGGTTCTGGAAAGGCCAAACTGCCATTGTGTGTGATGTTGCCCGGAATTTCTTTGCGGTTGTGTGTTGGGGGTGCTGGTCTTCAAATGGGACATACATCCTTGGCGGGTGGAAGCCACCAAAGAGACGTGCTGACTGGAGAAGGCCAAGACTGTCCTGGGGAACTGGCATCGCACATCCCTCCTGGCGGCCCAGCCCAGCCCAGGCTCAGCTTTGCTTGGTTCTGGTGTGGGCGGGCTTAAGATTATGTCTACACTACAATGATAAATGGGTTTAACAGTCAAAGGCTTCCTCTCTGCCCCGCAAAGAGCTCAGGGAGACATCGGTCAAGGCCAGCTATGCTGGTCAGGTGTTGTGATGCTCCCAAGCAGATGTTTTGCAGATGCTTCCAGGAAGGCAGAGCAGGTGGGGCCAAGCCCGGAATGAGCTGCACTTGTCGCTTAAAGCATTTGCGGCACATGACTGACGCTTAGGAGAGCCATTCCAGCCTTGGAGAAGGAGGGGAACCGGCACAAAAGGCAGAAGGGCACCCCGGGACGCCCCGCTGTCACCAACCGCACGGGGGTGTTGTGAAATGAACGTGGAGCAGAGGAACTGGATGTGCTGCCGAGCCGTGTGACAATATTCCAGCTTTCTTCTAAGAACCAACACGGGTGCGGGATCGCTCTGGGTTTCCCTCACCCTCCCACACTACTTGCCTGGCCTTCCGGCCAGGTAAACACCTGCCAGCAACTCCTTTTTCTGCAGCCAGGCAAAAACCCAGCTGGCCAGCAGCCACCAGCAGCAGCCTCCTTCCCTACGCACAGGAAATGTGCTCATCAGAGCCTCTGGAAAGCCAGGGGGAGGGGCAGAGGGTGAGCCCTGGGTGGGAATACTGGTTGTTCCAGGCCCCGTTGGCTGCAGGCAGCCTGGCCTGCAAGACGCATGCGCAGGGCTCCCCTTCTCCGGCCTTCCTAAAGGTGTCAGCAGGTTTCGTAATATATTGGCACAAGTTTATTAGCTGCGCTTTCAAATGGCAACACATGAGTCAGAATCCCCTCCGGGCCAGGATGTGGGGAGGACGGTTGCAGGGAGATCATTCTTTCTGCGCCAGCCGGCCAGCATCCCTTTCAGTCGCTTCGGGGGGGCAAGAGAAGTATGTGTAGGAAAACCAGACAGTAAAAGCGCGAAGTTCCAGTAGCTTGAAATGCCACTTTTACAAGGTTGCTGTGATCAGATCTGTTTTCGTTTTTAAATGGAACCTGTTCCCAGAAAACTGCTGAAGAGCGCAGCAGGGGTACGGTTCGGAGTGTCGGAAATGGACCCTGAGCCACCGGGAGCCCTTTTCAGTTCTGAAATACGTTGGGACGAGGCACGGTCATTGTCCGTGAGGGAGGGCAGCACAGCCGGGGACTGGGCCATGGGCCAAAGTCTGACCCAGCGGGAATGTCCAGCCAGGCAGTGGCAGGTGAAGAGGGCAGCAGGTCCCAACTCCCTTTGCATCCTGCAAGCATGAGAGTCCCGTGGTTTTGGTGAGCTTAAAACCAAAACTACACGTGTTCTGAAAATTAGTATTTTAAATCATGGTGGGCAGAAGCTCTTCTAACATGTGAAAAACGAAGGAGTTTTTTTCTCTGGCTGGCTTTTTGTTTTTTATGTTAGCTGTGTGCTTTGCAACTGAAGCGGTACACACAGGCCATCTAAAGAGGTCTTCTACAAGACTGGAGAGCCCAGGGTAAAAATTATGAATGATCACCCAGCTGGAGCACTGTCTGCGCTTGCTGTTTCTCCTTTCTCTGTAGTACTTTTTGCCGCCTGCAACAGCTCTGAGGAGGGGAATTGCTGTGTCATCCCAAGACATGGGCTGGCAGTAGATTCAGTCTAGAGCCAAACGAGAGCACACATTTCTTCCCATGAGGCAGAATTCACTTGTGGAACTCACTGCTGCAGGATGCAGTGACGGCTACTATCTCAGAAGCGGCTGCATGTCAGGTCCTTTTTCACACGACGCCGAGCAGCTTTGCCACCGAACTGCAGCCTCTTTCAGCACCGTGGCCCGACAGCTCCAGTGCGGAAGCAAGTCCTGAAAGCAAGGGTCTCCAGGTTGCTAGACCCTAAACGCTGAAAGTGGGGTGAGGGAGGAGGAGAAAGTACTCTTGGTGCATCTGCAAAAGTCTCTTTCAGAAAACAGAAGACCCCCTTTGCATGGAAAATGCCGTGCAGGCCTTTGGAAGCTTTGGTGGAGAAGGAACAGTCAGTCGCTGAGCCGGCGTGCCAAGGGGACGTTTCATGCACACATGCTAATGGAATTAGATTAATTGGAGGCAGGACTCAAGAGGGCTGTGTGTTTTGCTGCCTTTTGGTTCCTGTTGCCCTGACGATCTCAGCCACCACATGGTGTAAAAACAGAGGTGAGCACATGAGGTTCTTTCTCTTCCTCGTGATGTCACTTGGGGGCTCGGACATGCTGAACTTCTACACACATTATACGTCTTTTCATATGTCAGGTCCAAAACTGCACTAAAGCACTGGGGGGGGGATGGTGCAGCTTTAAATGCCCCCTTCTCTCCTTGCAATGTCAGGTTGCGTCCACTTTCTGTTTTCAGTCTTTGTTTGGAGGAATCTTGGGGGGCACACAAGCTTCCTTGAAGGATCTTGGCTTACCCGCCACAACCAGCTGTGGGAAGGTGGCTGGAGGCGCTTGCTCATAGTTTTGGACGGCAGGGCAGATCAGGCACACACCCGAAACACTCCTTCAAACCTTCAGCAAAGCAGGAAGCAAACTGTGTATTACGTCAAAGGGGTTTTAAAAAGCACTTTGCCTTAAACAAGGGGTGGAGCAACTGGAGCCTGCCAGGTGACGTTGGACTACAACTTCTATCATCCTGAAGCATTCGCTTTGCTGGCTGGGGTGAAAGGTGGAAGCCACAACTCAGCCACCCCTGCCTTAAAAAGACTCCATGTCGTCCTTTTATCCTGTCGTCGCTTCCCCAGTAGGTTGTGGCTTTATGTAGTTAATGTCAAGTTTCTTGTTTTCTTGTTCCTTGCATCTCTCCTTCCATGCTGACTGTCGAGAAAAGCATCAGGCTGGGTCTGACACTGCACCAAAGTAGCGTTCGTTCTGCACACCCAAGCATGTTTTTGTAAAGCCATTGAGAATTCTGTCGGACATGCAGCCAAAACATAGAAATGTTCTAATAATAGTAAGTCTCCAGCTCACTCAAATGTGTAGAGCAGATTAAGGGAACGTCAGAGTATCCTACCTCTGGGTTATCACCGAGAAGAATAAGATAGGCAGGGCCTATCTGTTGTGCTTCTGATTAGGAAACTGCCGTCTCAGGTCCATTCCGCCCATTTGTTGAAGGAAGTAGAATTCAAGACTTCCATTCAAGAACTGAGCAGTAAAGCTGAACATGCTGTGTGTTTTTCTTCTTCCACAAATGGAGGATTTAGTAATTTCGCATGCACAGAAGCTGCATGAATAATTTGTTAGAAAGGCGACTGCTTGGAAACATTTTCCTTTGCAGATAAAAACCACAAGCTCCCCTGTGCTGAGGCTCAGAGATTGCTTCCGGGTTCCTGGAACGAAACGTTGCAGGGCGAGAACGAAACATTACAGGGCGAGAGCTGGAGGCGGGGCGACCTGGGCAGGCACGGCAAATTGCAATCTTGCTGCATCCAACCATCCCGAGACTTAACTGCCACACACAAATAGGTCTGTTTGTGTCACCCAGTTTTGCACGCCCAGCGCAAGGCGGTAGGGCTTGGCAAAGGAAAGAGCGATTGCACACATGAAGAAGGGCAAGAAAGTTCATGCTAACCCCTTTTCTCATGAGCCGAAGCTGAATTTTTAGGGTGCTCCCATGCAGAAGGCTGTTATTCGGCACATATCTAGTCTGTGATTCTGACAGTAAGTGTGGTATAGCATTTAGCGTCTATCCAGGACAAGTTCAGTATCTAGACGCCAGTAGCTAAAAGCCCTCCGTTTGGAAGCACTCCCAGGTTCAAATCCTCTCATCCATGAAGAGCACTTGAAAAGCCTTGGACAGTCATGAGCTCTCAGTCTGACCTACCTCACAGGGTTGTTGTGAGTATACAATTGTGAGCAATGACCGTGTTTGCTACCTTGAGCTCCTTGGAGGAAAAACAATAAACAATTTGAAATGCTTTGTTTTTATTCTGAAAATGATCTATTCTTCGGAACCCACAAGATGAGGTGTCCTGTCCATAGGCAGCTTCGGACATCCCCACGTGGATACAAGCTTCTTTTTATAACGCAGGATTGAATTGACCATCTCAGCTAAATTTCTCTTAGTTTGTTGTCCCAGTGGGATAAACCTGGCATTCCTCTGGCATGTTACCATCATTCATTCAAGTTCAAGGGGCGCAGAATAAAAGTGGTTTTCAACTAGATGGCTAAGACTGAACACAAAAAACGGAGACGTCAAGCCAAGTTGTTATACAATTTCTGTATTGTTTTTTTAGTGGCTCTTGTACAGAACTTGTGGGCCTTTTCTTTTTTAAATGTTTAACAAAGTTCAATCTTGTAGAAACTTTTTAAAGTACAGTACATGAACCTCAGAAAATGTGACGGAGGCACCCTGCCTGCTTTGAGTGCAAGATTTCTCTGGGGGTTCGAAAGACGATATCTAAGTGCTTAGTTCAAAGGTCCTGCTTCACTAAAGCTCATCTGTAGCATGTCAAGGGGAGAAGTTGCTGGAGCCAACTCAACTTTCCATTTCCCACTGGTGTGCAAAACGGGTACAAAAGCTAGTAGGTAAACGTTGCATTTGTTCATGTGGTTGTTAGAGACTACGGAATCCAGGTCCCCAAATAGCGCTGGATCAAGTAAAACTCGGACCTGCCACTATATAAAAATGCCTTCCATTCAGACACAAATGCTTGCACGGGGAAAGCACACACCTGCTGCGTAGCCGCTGATGGGCACCTCCTTACCTGTTTGCGTAGAGGCTTTTTGCGTCAAAAGGGGTTAAACGGATGAATAGAAGGGTAGAAGTTTCTTGAAGGACACCGGGTCAATTCAAAGAGAGAATCACCCACACCCCGAAATTAAAACTATGACAACAGTTCGGTCCAAGGTGCTGGTTCAAACTTTAAGCGGCTTGAGGAGGGGCTCCGCCACCAGGAACCTGCCTAAAGAGCCTAGTCAGTGGCCCCTCTGCAGGGCCCGCTGTTGCCTGTGGGGAGGCGGATAGGGGCTCCGGCAGGGCCTTATCCTGGAAATAAGCTCCCCAGGGAGGCTCGCCTGTCCCTGACCCTAAACTTAACATCCAGGCATTTGATTTTAGCTTGGTGGCTTTATCTGGCTTTTATAGAAGCCATCTCTGTTGCGGGCCTTTTATTGCGTGGCTTTTAACAGAGGTTTTAAAATTAGTATTCCTTGGGGGAGTTGCTTACTGAAATGCAGCCTCTACATGGCTGGAATAGGTAGGAAGGCTGCTTGTGCAATGTCAGCAAGAAGTGATCTGATAAATCTCAAAGGGTCTTTTAAAGGGCAAAGCAGCTATCCGGAAAGGAGGCCCCTCCACTGATTCGGGTGGGGCGGGGCTCTAGCCAGGCTGCTTCCCTCTCCCACATCTGGCAGTCCAGCTGTGCTCCCCTGACAGCACCAGTCCGCCAACAGAGGGGTCTCCTGGACCGGCCTTGCTCACCGGCCTGCATATTGCTTTTGAAGGACTCAAAGGAATACTGCATATCCCACGGAGCACCTTTGATCGCCCAGAGGCAGCAAGCAGACTCGCAGTCAGATCCTCAGCACGGATACAATCCTGAGGCAGCAGGAATGGGGGCACAAAAGCACTCCTGGCCCCCCCCCCCAGCTGCTTTCCCCAGGCTTTGCTCCCAGAACTAATCCTGTGCTTACCAGCTGCATGCAAAACCAGCTGCCCTATCGGTGTGAGTGGCCTCACCCTGAATCGGAGCAGAAGCACGCCTGCCCCCATGCCTTCGACAGGCAGGAGCAATGGAACGCCAGGATTTCAGATCCGGGGGAGTCTTTCCCCAGCCCTATGCAGGGATGTTGGGGATGGGACTCGGGTCCTTCCGTGTGCAAAACGGGCGTTCCACATCCGGCACTGCGGGAACCCCCAGGGCGATGCCCACTGGCTGCATCGCAGGCCCGCGACAGCCCGGCAGAGCCTTCCCGACCCGCCCGTGGAGAGCTCCCGCTCCGCTCGGGAGGCTCCAGCGCCACGCTCTGCTCTTGCCCTGCATCCCCGTCGCCACCTCCAGCCGTGCTTGTAACCTCCCCGCACGGCAGGCGCCAAAGCGGCTCAGCGGCCACGAGCTCGGGCACATCACCCTGGCCCACAGCCAGCCGAGCAGGCGCAGGCCAGCCCTGCGGCGGCCTCTGTCTCCACCAGACCGGCCTGATTATAAGCCAGATTGCAGCGGGCGAGTCAGAAAAGGCCACGCGCCGCAATCGACCCGCACTCTTCCCTGCTAACTCATGCTCCACACGAGCGCCTGCCGCCCTCACCGACCGGTTTCCTCCTGTTCACATTTAAAGAGCAAGACATCGTCCACCACTGCCATACCTCTGGGTTCGTCGGACAGGCGGATACCTCCCTCGTTTCTCAGTGGCTGCGTTTTGCTCCAGTTCGGACGACACTTAACCATCTGAGATCACTATTAGAGGGATGATAGAAGGTTCCAGGTGAAGGTGAGGGTTGCCGAGCGGGCCGACGCAGTCACGATGCTACTCTTAATTCTAAGGGATGGAATCTCTCTTGGGCCTTCGTCCGCCTCGGAGCAAGACCTCTCTGTTAGTGCTCCTGCCGCAAAAATGTACACCAGAGTTCCAGATGGACATCTGGGAGAAGGGGCCACGTCCTCGCCCTGCACCCTGGCCTACCAAAACACACAATCCCCACTCAGGATACATGGGACACATCACATCTGCAGGAACTTGCTTTGCATATTAGGATCCGCTGCTGCTAATATATTATGGCAAACCTTATACAAATATGTCACACATTATACGACGAGATAGTACGCAAAGCAAGCACCTGCGAAGTAATGCTTTGCGAAATGGCAAGTTTTCAAGAACTCCCGTTCTTGGCGAGCAGAGACCAAGTTGGGGGCAGGGGGCCAGACAGAGGTCGCTGCTGTAGCTCTCGCTCCAGAGAACGCTGCGTGAAGGTTTGAAGCTCCATCTCCATGTAACTGGGAGTTGTGCCTAGCACCCTCTGCCCCAGCTTCTGACATTCCGGTTGGCTTAGTCCACATACTGTCAAGCTTTTCTTCACGACAGTGTGAACCTGTGACATTCTGTTTTCTTTTTAAAGGGAAGCCAAATAGGTTTTGATATATAATAGGGCCTGTGAGAAGCACCGAAGTTTCAAAGTCCCCTGACCCAATGCCATGCGGTCTCGACAAGGGTGGAAGGTGGAATGTAGCTACACAGCGGCCCGACACGCTCCGGTTCTTGACTGGGCTGATAACCAAGTCAGGGGGGTACAGATTTGGCTACAAAGCCGACATTTTAATCTCTGTTTTAGTGCTCAAACGGCTGCCCCCTTCCCCAAACGAAACGCCGAGCTGAGCAAAAGGCGATTGCATGTACAAATAGGGCCGTCCAACTTATCATTAAAGTCTGTCCCTGTCCAAACCCAAATGCAAAGCAGACTTTTCAAGTTACCAAACACACCTTTTTGAAACAAAAGATGTTGCAGCTTTGTTTGTTTTTTAAAAAGTGGGCAGAAAAGACGTGGCTTCTGACAGCTGCCAATTGCTTCTTTGACGATGTTCCTGTTGCATCCCTTCCTTTTTGTTTCTGGTGGGTCGCAGCTAGAGGAAGCATAAGGACTAAGAAGTCAGTTCAGAAACCATGCTACTTCGCGTTCAGGAAGGCTATTACAACCATATTTCTACAACATATAGAACAGCACATAACAGCTTTGTTTCCTGGGTTACTAAAAGGTGGGGGAGGGGGGAGAGAAAGGAAAGGAAAAGAAAAAAATGCTTTCAAAAGGTTCCACCATAACTAAATATCAGACTTGGGATGGCATCGCGGATTCCAAATTTAGAGTCTTTGCAGACTAGAGGACAAGTCTCTGGAAAAGCTGTAGCGAAGCGACGTCTCGCAGACAGACGTGGGGCAGCAAAGCATCCCCCGGCAATCAGTCTCATAGTGCTTCTTGATGGCTTTGATCAATGAGTCTGGGTTTTAGCATTATTTTTTTTTTAATCTCATCCAGTGGCAAACTACAAGACTTTCAGTGGACATTTAATGACACAACTGATACAGTTTATAGCTATCTTTTAATATCAAAGCAGCTTGAGCTGTTAATAAATTCCAAAGTTTCCTTTTATTAAAATATCTAAAAGAGGTCTATAAATATTATTTAATTTTTTTCTTCTAAAAGTGTTCCCAGGGGGTTTTTTTTTGTTTTTGTTTGCTTTTCAAATTTAAAACAAAAAAGTCAATTTTATCTTCCTATCAGGAACTAAGAAAAAGGAGCAGTCAGTCACTCTTGTTCAACAAATGGAGCTGATTTTTCATCTCTTCCTTAGTCCTTGATGAAATTATTAAAATATATATATATATATGTATGTCTGTATATATAGATCTATTTTTATATACACTCCGTGTTGACTCCCTGCTTCTTCCGCATGTTCCACGGAGCTTAGAACCTGGGCAAGACAATCTGGGCGGCTGTATGCTCTGCTTGGCCCCTCAGAATTCCCACTCCAGGGGCTCTTCTCGGTTGGCCGCTCTCTCCAGCCTGTGGATGATACTGTTCAGGTTGGCCATCTTCTCATGCCGTCGCTGAATGTTTGTACTCAGTTTGGCACTGGGGGGCAGAGCGACAGTTTCTGTGGGAGGACTCAAGCTCTGCACGTGGGCAGGGGCGCTGCTCACGGGCAACGGGGAGATGGGGGCCGAGGAGGAGGGAACGGGAGAGACGGACATCATGAGGCCCGGAGACGAGGCTGCGGATGGGGAGTTCAGGGAGACCTCCAAGCTGCACCGGGAAGACTCGGACGTGGACTTAAAGCTGGTGGGGTCGGGGTGGGGCCGCTCGCCACTCTCCGAGTCCATGGGGTGATGCAAAGAGGAGTATTCAGGAGCCCCGGACAGGTGTGTTTTGCTATGGGGGGCTGTGCCCCAGGTGAGGCTGGGCGCCTCGGGTGGGCTGGTGGCACAGGTGGTCTCCACCTGCTCTTCCTTGAGGCCGGGCCCCGGCGGAGCGTCGGCCTCCCCGTCCGGGCCAGCAGGGTCCCTGTGAGGCGCATGCTCCTCACCCGCCTCCAGCTGCTCCTCCTTGATCCTGACAGGAGACCCTCCTCCGCCTTGGCACCCGGCATCTCGGAAGGTGGGCTTCCGGTCTTCCCCCTCCGAGTCGGGACTCTGGAGCGGCTGTGGGTCCTTGAGCCCGCTGCCGGCGGGCGTCGCACTCTGCTCGGGGTCGGTGTCGTCCTGCGCCCCTTCCACCAGCATCTCCCGGCGCATCCGGGACCTGTCAGAGGGAAGGGCCAGTGAGAGAGAGAGAAAGTCACTGAGAAGGGGCAGCGTCTGCAGCCTGAGTAGGACTGATAGGGAGCGCCGCCCGGAGGACAGGACACCGGAATCAGGCCGAGCAGATCTGGGGCTCGAGTCACGTCGGTCCAAGCCACCCTCTCCCTGCCCCCCTCCTCAGACAGAACGCTTTGCCACCGAGTAGGAACGGCAGAGACGTCCTCCACGGGTTCTTGCGACTGCAAAGCCCTGTAAACGATGCAGCCTCCAGTAGCACAGCCCGTCTTGACCTCTGTGACTGCCTTCCACGGCGCGTGGGTCGAGCGGTCGCATTAAAGGGCACCCCCTTCTTTAATTGTCAGTATTTCACACCAAGCTTCCCATAGGTTTATTAATTAATTAAAAAACCTTCTATGCCGCCCCATTCACTGAAGCCTTGGGGCGGCTCACAACAATAAATAAATAATAACAATATAAAAACAATATAATATAATTGGAGATGTCCTGGCCAGGTTCTGGGGTGGTGAACCGTCTGCCTGGCAGGTGCAAGCTGGCAGGGAGTGGGGTGGGGGTGGGGGGGTGGCTATGAATGGGCCCATCTTGTACCTGTAGTTATGGAACCAGTTGATCACGGTGTTGGTCTTGAGGTTCAGCTGGAAGGAAAGCAGCTCGATGGTCTGCTGAGACGGGTACGGCTCCAGCTGATAAGCCCTTTTCAGGGCCTCCTTCTCTTCGGGAGCCAAGACGACCCTCGGCTTCTTGATCTGTAGGAGGCCGAGGTCCTGGGACTGGAGGCCAGGGCTTGGGCATTCGGAGTGAGCGTTGGGGGACTCGCTGTCTGAGCCGGTGTTGATCAGCCCATAGCGACGCTTCAGGTAGGCTGGAGACAGACAGACAGACAGAATAAAGAGAGAACGGGCCCTGTCCCTGCATTCTGAATTCACCAAGCATCTTCTGCTTCCAAAACAGAGGAGGTGACCCGGTGCAGCTCCACGGGCGAGACACCCTGCGCAGGTCCCCTCCTTGCACATGGCTACCTCTCCCTCATCGCTGCCCCCAGTTGCTCAGGTGCCCAGTCCCCTTCCCCGTCATCGCGCATTTGCCTGTTGGCAGAGAGCAAGAAGGCGGTGCCTGCGGCCCTTCCTGCCACCAGAAAGCAGGGGGGCGGGCAGCTGGCCCTGGGGAGGAGGAGACGCGGGGCCAGGAGGCTCTTGTGTGGGGGTCTTGGTCCCCAGGGGAGACTCTACCACGCTTGTCTCTGGGGCTGCCCTGCGCAAGACACAGTGGGGAAGCGGCAGAGGTCCAAGGATACCTAACGAGCTTTCTTGGGATGCAAGGTATTTGCGATTTTCATAGTCAGAAGCAAAAGGTGCATTCGTGGCAATGACGGGGTGTCCCAAAGGCAGCAACCACCTTTAAAGCTACCCCGACACATGAAAAAACAAGCTGCTGCGCACGGAAGCCTCTTCCGCAGAACGGGAGAGAAGCAGGGGGTTTGCCTCCTTTTGGCACCCGGGCTGCTGCGGAGCCACCCAGGGCCACGCGGATCATAAAGCCCATCAGTCCTTTGCAAGGCTGACACTCTTGCTTGGACAGGAGCTTGTCGGCAAACTAGGCAACGGCTGTGTTCACAAATCGCACACCTGGCTTTTGTGGATCAAGGCCCCGTTTATGCCATGCACATTTCTGGCAAGGGATACGGAAAAGGCCAGTCTTTCATGCATGCTCAGCCCTTTTCCGCGTTTCCCATTCAGTCCAAAGGCGGCTCCACGCTGCAGAAGTTTGCACCTCTCACAGGCCTGGCTCCTGCACGCCTTGTGACGTCCCACACGGACAGTCCAGGTGGGGCAGCTCCTGGCAACCCCGCAAGAGCCAGAGCGCTCCGACGTGGGGCAAAAGCGGCTGGTGGCGCTCACCTTTCTTCTCCAGCTTCTTCATGTCCCGGAGCTTGTCCACATTGTGCGGATCGTTCAGCCAGAGCTGCATGCGGACAAAGGGCTCCCTCCCTTTGAGGCTCAGCTTGTGCCAGGGCTTCGGCCTGGAAAGAAGATCTGAGACGGAGCCCTGGGTCAGACCCAGGATGCTCTCGCCGAAGAGCCGCTGGCCTGGCGGGAGAGACAAACGGGCAGGTGAGCGCACGACGGCCCTTTCCAAGCGAAGGGATCGCGCGAGCCCGTGATGCTTTGGGGTGAGACAAGATGTTGGCCGACACATCTGGAGAGCACCAGGCTGGGGGAGGCCGTCTTGGAGCGAGAGCAGCCTTTGGTGCCCTGCCCAGCTGGAGCTGCTCCCCATTTCTTCAGTGGTCCATGAGAGACTTTAGTATTTGGACGGCATGGAAAGACTTCAAATGAATAACTACAGCCATCGTCTTCCGCATTCTGGCTTATAATCACAGAGGCGTGTGCCCTATGCTCAAGACAATTCACGTGTTGCACCCAGACAATCCAGAAAGCATGCCAAGAAAAAGAACCTCGGCCATCTGCATACATTAGGCAACGATGCAAGTGCTCCCTTCTTTTGCATAATTTATGCTGGATTTGCATTTAATGGGGAGAGATGGTGAAGTGCACAGACCACTGAAAAGCCCCTTACGCACCTTATTCAGCCCTTCATAACCCAGAGGCAACCTGTCCTGTTCCTAAAGCCTGGAAGTGTGTCTGTGCGTGCGCTTTAAGCTGAGATCCTCAGCTCAGTTTTCCAACTGCTGAAACATGATCTGTTTCCGTGCATTCATGGGATGCCTTCAGTCCCTGGTCTAATTAGAGTAGGAGCCCTGGGGTATTGTGCCACAGAGACACAAAAACGACTCGTGAGCTCAGCGGAGGAGGCACCGTCCCTGTTGCAAGAGATGCGCTGCACCCCCCCCCCGTCTCCCGCCCCACCCACACCGTCCGCTTCCTCTCCGTTTTTCATTGGCCTCCACGGCACTAAAGTGACTGAGGGGAAGCTGCCACCAGGAGGCTTTGAGAGTACAAAACACATCCCAGTGCCAGATAAAGTTAACGGGAGGGTTGCAGCTTGCTCGCCCTCGTTCCCTCCCGAGCCGTGTGCTGCCGGGCTGCATCCGTACCGAGGTTGTTGTCGGTGAGCACCTCCTTGACCTTCTTCGTGATGGAGTACGTGTCCAGCTCCGGCGACATGGCCACGATCTCCTGAATGCCCACGGGTGCCTGCCCATTGCTGGGACACAGCTTCCCACTGAGCGAGGAGCTGGGCCTGCTTTCCGGCTGCTGGTTCTCTTTGCTGCTCTCCAGAGCCAGGCTCAGGGGCTCCGGGGGGCTCTTCTCTTGCTCTGAGGGGCTGGGGGGCGGGGAAGGGGAAGACTGGGCCTCCCCCGGACTGGCTGCAAGCAAGACAAAATGTTGGGAGAGTGGTGAGGAGGAAACTGGGGGGAACCAAGCATCAAGCTGTGAGGTTGCGGCAGTGGAAACGTGCTGCAAACGTTTCTTGGACAAATAAATGGATGTAAATAAAGAGAAGTGGAATGCCGGTCTTTTGCAAGCGGAGCTGAAACTCATGAAAACACAAGCGACCCGATGTGCAGGCAAGGAATGCACATGCCAAAACTAACCACAGCGCACCCGGGTTATCAATTTATGGGCTTCCAACATTGCAGTGCACACGCTCCTAAGGATGAACCGTTTGGCACGAGATGTCAGGCACACGTGCACCCGGCCTTGGGGGAACGCGCAAGGAGAGGAACTGGACAGCGGGTCGCTGCGGCCTTCCCCGAGGCTTGGAAATGTGCCTGCACGGCAGGGCGGGGGGACGGCGGGCCTGCCCGGAGAAGCAGCCGCCAAGCCTGGCCCGAGGGAGCCCCGCGGGGGGAGCCTACCATGCGGGGCGCCCGCCTGGGGGGCGATGCCGTGGCCCAGCTGGTCCGTGAGCCAGAGCTGCATCCGGATGAACGGCTCGCGCCCCTTCTGTGTCAGCTTGCTCCACGGCTTGGGCCTGGACAGCATGTCGCTCACGCTCCCTTGCGACAGGCCCAGCACCTGCAAGGGAAGCCACACAGGGCCCGCGTCAGCAGTGCCACGGCCTGAGGCCCCATGGCCGGCCGAGGGGCTGCCTGACCGGGAACGCCCGCTGCCCCGAGGGGACTGTGGTGCCCAGGGAGCCTGCCCACCATGCTGGGGGGCTGCGGGGGGAAGCCCCCGTGCCCCAGAGTGGGACGCGGGGCTCTCCTGCTCGGCTGGGCCACCGAGTTATGGCCTGAGAAGGCCCAGCTAAACTTCCGAGGGGTCCTTCTGGCGGAGGACAAAAACACAAAGAGCAGAACGTGGGGCCAACCCCGAGAAGGCCGTGTGGTGCAGAATGCCTCCCGAGGAGGGGACGTGCCCTAAAACCCTGAGGGGCTTGGGGGATAATGTAATTATGACCTGAGAAGGCTCAGCTAAAATCAAAAGTCTTTCATGAGGAGGAGGAAGAGGAGGAGGCCCAACCAAAATGCTGAGGGATTTGCGGGGCATTGTAATTATGACCCCGAAAATGCCACACAGGGTCTGGCAAAATTCTTCCGTGGAGAAAGCAGAGCCAGTGGCGACTCTGAGGACATGCTGGGGGGGTTGAGGACGGGGGTCATCGGAGGTGGAAGGGAGCCAGCGGTGAACAAGATGAAGGCTGGCGATTCTGGGGGACAAGAACAGCAAAAGTGGGAGGGGGAATGGGGGGGATGAAGCAGATTTGCCGCTGCGCAGTTCTTTCAGTGCTGCTGCGTTTTATGCCACATGGGAAGAGATTAAAGGGGTGACGGTTCCCCCACTGCTCTGCCTGCACTGAGGCTTGCGACGTTTCGGTACCAGAGAAGGCCTCTGCTCCTCGAAGTGGCAACCTTAGCGAACAAGAAGCAAGCACTCCCCCCCAGCAGCGGAACTGTCCCTTCCTGTCGCTTGACAGCATTCTGTTTCTCGTATACACCAGTGGAGGCAGAAAGTAGGCAAACAGTTTCACCTCCACAGCTAGCCTTCCTGACCGCTGGCCCTGTGGGAGGGCCTTCGGGAAGCTGGCGTCCCAAACATCTGGAGACCTACTGGCTGCCCATCAGTCGCACACACGCACGCTCCACCCCACGCACGCTCACACACAGTCTCTCTGACACTCTCCGGCCAGCCCCACGGTCCGTATCCGCTGCCGAGCTACCTTCTCCCCAAAAATGCGCTGGCAGATCCCGTTCTTGGCCAGCTTCTCCTTGACCTGCCGCGTCAGCTCCATGGTGTCCACTTCCCTGTACATGTACATCTCGTACTGCTCCGGCGTCAGGGGCGGGACAGTGGGCTTGAGAGTCCTTGGCACGTAGGACGGGTAGTACGAGAGGCGCCCCGCGGGCTGGGCCTCAGCGCCAGCCACCTCCGGCTTGACCTCCGGCGCCCGGTGGGGCTCGTCCTCGGAGGTGGGGAGGTCCTCCTCGTTCAGCGCGGGGTCGCCGGGCTCCCCCCGCGGCCACAAGCGGCCGTTGGCCATGCTGGAGTAGCTGGAGGAGGAGGAGAGCGAGGGCGACACCGAGGTGTACGGGCGGCTGAGCAGGCTCCTCTCCGAGGCCCAGTGCTGGTCGAAGTAGGAGCTGGCATCCCCGATCTCGGACTTGACCTTCCGGATGATGCTCTGCACGAAGGCGGCCGGAGAAAGCACGGTCAGGGGGGGCGGGGCTGCGCTGGTGCCGGGGCTCGGGCCCAGCATCCCTTCCTCCTGCTTGATGTAGGCCTGGACGATGTTCTGGCTGACGGTGGCCAAGGTGGAGCGCTCTGCGGGCGCCGTGGCGGCGGGCCGGCCAGCACTGCTGCCCGACTCGATCTCCATCAGGGCCTGCTGCTGCGCTTGCATCTCCCGGCGGGCCTGCTCCAGGATGCTCTTGATGGCATCTTCCGAGTTGCTGGTGCCGGTGCCGTTGGTGACCGCCTGGGTCACCGTGGAGCTCTTGGTGTCCCCTGCGGGGTTGCCAAAAACACGGATGAAGGTGGCAACCGGGAGGCAGCTGGGGTTCAGCTGAGTTACCTCAACAGCCGTTTATCTGGGCACTTCCTCCACGCCTCCCGATACCCAGATCGTGCTTCCTGATGCAAACTGGCAAATTGGTGCCCTCCCAAGTTTTGGACTCCATCTCCCATAAGCCCCAGACAGGGTGGTTAACATTCAGGGATTATGGGAATTCTAGTCCCAAGCAACTGGAAGGCATCAGGTTGTCTTCTGCATCAGAGCAAAGCTGATTAAATATTGACCCGCTGGCAAGATACTGGTATTTCTGACACTCTATAAAATTTTAAATGGAGGCATTCTTTAAAAAAGGGAGGGAGGGAGGGAGGGAGGGAGGGAGGGAGATGGCAGCAGTTCTGTCCCTATCTGTGTCCATACTGATATACAGTGCCCTGTTGATGTGCTCGCCTCTCTTAGACTTTTTCCAAACCTTATTGTGCTACAACCCGGAATCGGGATGGATTGAATGGATGTGGTGGTCATTTGGTGTGCAAAGGACACACGCCACAGGAGAACTTCAGGGCGCTTTGATTTTGTGTGTAACATCCGAGAAATGTAAGAGGAAATAAAGCAACTGCCTGTCATCTCCAGCTGGTGGGCACAGCAACCACACGGTCCTTTACGAAGCCTCATGATCAAAAATCACACATGACCTCGATGTGGCCTTGGAGCTCAGATGCCCCCTTGACCCTCCGGGCCAGAACAGAGAGAGTCACACCCGACACTTTTCTGGAGCTGCAAAACCGGCCTTGAAGAAGGGCCTTTGGTGGGTCTTCTGCAAGCAGGGCAGGAAGGAGCTCAGCGCTCCCAGGATGCAACGGATCTCGGGGGACCGTTCGCCTCCATCCCTCCCACCCCCAAGCATCGCACGTTAAACTGCCCCTACTAGCCGTGCGGCTGTTTTGCAAAGGGGAGGGAGCCCAGGGACACCCCCGCTGCCCTGCCAGGCCTGCCTGCGGTACTCCAAGTCCAGAGGGCATCCCCACAGGATTGTGCCCTACATGGCTTAATCAATTTTTAAAAAAACTTCTAATCAACTAAACTATGCCCCGATTAACTAAACAGCAGAGTTAATGTTTTTTAAATGGGCCCATTAAAAAAAACCAGCAGACAGGAATTGCACTATGGTCAAAGAAGCATTCCAAAACCTTCTCTCCCATGGGATCCAGTCCCTCTTCTACGATGACATATGACACACAGACCACATAATTTAAAAATAAAGGAATTCTGCTCGCTGCTTAGGAAATTTTGTTTTTACCATATTTAATCCAATTAGTAGATTCATCTCTTAATTGACTAACCCTCTTATGACCGATCGATTGACATTTCTTTAATCAGGCTGCATCTGTAAAAATAATAAATAAGCCCCTTCTGCTTGACTGCATCAAGTTGGCGATGAAGCTGGACCCTCCAACGGAAGGCTTTTGTGGGCTTATGCGTGACAAAAAAATATACTTCGGCCTCCAGACTACCTGTCTGGCAAACAGAACACCCTCAGAATATAGATATTGGCCACATTTACTTCGAAACAAAAGATGGGGACTTCAGTCCCTTTTAAACCAACCAGGCAAGAAGCCCTTGGGTGGGACACGGTCCACCAGCCTGAGGGATGTGGGGAGAAGCCAGACAGCGTCGTACCGATCCAAAGTGCCAGAACGGATTGTTAAAGCTCTAGAGTCTAGGCATTTGGGACCAAGTTACTCCAAGGCCCTTCGTGACCCTGCCAACCTGCCCATGGTGTGGGATCGGTTCATTTACGTGTGAGGCCCATGGGCAGGAAGGGTCGGAACGCTCTGCAGAGGTCCCGGGCTTGGCGAGGCACGACCCACTGTAACTTTTTGGTGGATTTTCCACCCCACTGGTTGATGCACAGTTTTTCTCGAAAGGATGCTATCATGCGGGTGGCTTGCTTTGGTGCTGAATTACTTGCAAACTAGAGCATGGATTGCCTGGTTGCTGTGCCGTGCTGTAGGCCAGCGCTCTCGATACTGCGGTTTTGTCACTTTATCGTGAATGTAACCGCTGTTTTATGGTGCTTTATGGTTAAATCTGAGGGGTTGGAAGCTGCCCTGTGAAGACTGAGCCTAAAAAACAGACGAAAGGTATTTTAAATACACAGACAGCCAGAAGCCAAAAGGAAAGAGGACAACGGCGTATTCCAGGTGAGGCTCCCTCAAATTCCAAGTCCGAGGTACTCTTTACGGGACAATATGGTCCTTTTGCAGAGAGAATATTTGGTTTGCCAAAGACGACGCTGACACCTTGTGAAATTGCTGCATAAAAACCACTAGAGGGCAGCATAAGAGAGTCTAATTTAAACTGACAAAGCAAAGCTGAGTTACTCATTTTGCATTCCCAAGCTGATGGGTCACAGTTCACATTCAGAGAACTCCAAAGAGCATTTAAAAGAGAAATCGCTTCCCATGTTATATATGTTTGCCTCACTTTTCCTTCTGGTAAAGAGGCTGCACAGTCTGTCTACTGTCGCTAAACCCTGCTCAGTTTACTTGATCTGCAGCAAAGGGGAGACGGGAGGTGTCTGCACATGCACCAAAGGGATGAAGCCTCTTTCAAACCCCTTTCAGCTTTCTCTAAAAGCAGTCGGTCGCCAGCTGCAGAACCATTTTACAAACTGCCCAAAGCTGCACTGGAGGGGATTGCTTAATGCAGCTCCATTGAAAAGGCCCTGTCTTGGGCAGCCTCGCCTCGCCGAGAGGCCGATCGGCCGTTCGCTTACCCAGAGTTCCCCCAAGCTGCCTGGGCACAAAAGGGCGCCTCTGATTCTTGGGTGAGCTCCGAAACTCAGGACACAACCGAAGGCGGCGCACATGGCCCGTCGGGCCCCTCACCTCCTTTCTGGGACTCAATCTCTTTCTTGGCTTGCTCCAGGATGCTCTTGATGGCGTCGTCGGAGCCGGTTTCTGGCGTCCGGATCCTCGGCGTGATGCTGCCTGGTCGAAGAAGCACAATCGCGCAGGCGGTCACTCGCCTCCTCTTTTGTAACCCACGGGACGCCCAGCGAGCGTTGGCCCAGGCCAGCCCTCAGCTGCTTGCAGGAGCCTCTGCGCAAAGGCACGCCTCCCCCCATTTACTGTTCGCCGAAGGGGAAAGGAACCAAGGCTCTGGCTGAGCGGTTCTGCACAGAGGGGACCGATGGGGATCAGGCCGGCGAAGGCCAACCCGCGCTCGGGCCGGACGGGGGCGGAGTCCTGGGAATGGTCCACGGATCCCACCAGCTTCCCCGAACTGGCAGTGGCTGGGGATGGACCCCGAGAGCGGCTGCTCGGCCACGGAGGCGTGGCCCTTTCCGAAGCGACGTGGCAGGGCGGAGGGAGCCGCAGCGTGGAGGCCACCGGGGGGCTCAGGGGTGTCGTTACCTCTGCTATCTGTACTTTGGGAAAGAGACCTCTTCATGCTTTAGTTTATGAGGGAAAGTTGCACAAATTAGAGTTCCCCTTCAGCTGTTGTCCTTTTACACAATTTCCCTGTCTACTTATGCACACAGATGCAAGTGCAAATTGAAATAAGCACGGAGCTGATACTCGGAGCCTCGCGGTGAGCCCGAGCTTCACTCCTCTGGCCACCCGAACAGAACTGCGCTCAGGCGGCCCAGGCAGCTCCCGCTGGGCCCAAAGGGACGGCAAAAGCACGCCTGCGCGCCAACTGATCGCCGGGGCCACTCACCTCTCTGGCGCACCTGAATCGTCCGCAGAGCTAAGACGTTCTGCTCGTCGGAGAGGAACTGCTTCATCTTGATAAACGGCTCTTTCCCCTTGACCGTGAGCTTGCGCCAAGGCTTCGGCCGAGCCAGGATCTCGCTGACGGAGCCCTGAGAAAGGCCCAGGACGTAATGGCCGAAGACGCGCTGGCCAATGTTGTGCTTCAGGAGCTGCTCTTTCACTTGGAAGGCGATCTCGGCCGTGTCCAGCTTCTCCTCTTCCGCCGAGCCGGAGCTGCTGCCCTCCGACTGGTCGCTTGGCGGGCTCACCTCGTTGGCGGCGGCAGCCTGGCCAGGATTGCCTGATAACCCGGCCCCTTTGGCGGCGTAGAAGGTGGGGGGGAACGCCTCGCTCTTGTACGCGGGGGGCCCCATCTGCTTGGGGAGGAGGGAGTCTAATGGTATCCGTTCGGCAGCGCTCAAGCTGGGGAAGGGGGACAGCGAGAAAGTCCTTGGTACGTCCTGGGCCATGGTGGGGCCCAGCAGGGGCTGGATGAGAGATGAGGAGGTGGACTCTTCCCTAGGCGTGTGTGAGAGCTGCTGTGGGGAAGGGTAGGACTGGTCTGTGCCCATGGAATCCTTCCCTGATTCGTCCTCCGAGGGTTCCTCCTCTAGAGATCAAAGAGAAAGGGAGAGGTACAAACACCAACTATAGCTTCTCCGCAAGTCTCTAAACGTTATTCAGATGCCATTTGGAAAGCTTCTGGGAAGTCCGTTTTTCAGTCACCTGCCCTCAAAGGAACTCCCCAATATTTTCTTGGGCAAGACCCTAATAGTTTATTCGCAATCCCAGGCATGTTTAGACAGAAAGAAGTCTTACAACTTATAAAAAGTTATAGTTCTTTTTTTCTGATTGCACTCTCAGTTGTTTATATTTACGTCTTCATTTAAAGCAATTTTAACCTACTCTTCAGTTGATGAAAAGTCCCCTACAGCGGCTTACATAGATCAATAACAAGCAAGACAGTCTCTCCAAAGACAGGAGATGATGCAAAAGGATATTGGACTGAGGAGGGCAGAGGAAAACAAGCAAAGCCAGGCACCCGTTCTTACAGTCACAACATCCTTGTAACAACCAGCTGGAATGGAAGCAGCTCAGGAGGAGGCAGGGCCGCATGGAGCAGGCGCATCCTTCCTAGTCATGGCCCAAGAAGGGTTACGGAGGGAGACAAGATCCTGATAGGGGTCCTTCAGAGTTGTGGATTTGCATGAAAATGCTCCATACTGCACCAAAGAATTGGGATATCCTCATAGTGGTACATTCCCTAGGAGTTTTAAAAATTGATTTACAATCCTTCTGTCGTGTTTTTCTTGCCATTCAAGGCAGCTCACAACAAAGGGTTTTTTAAAGATCGGACCATTATTAACTCTATTAAAAGCACCACCTTACCCGCCAGTTATATTTGAAAACGTGGAATAAAATGTCCTATTGCCCGAGGCTCAGTCTGCCCTTTGCATCGTTCTACCAAAGGGCTTGTCCTCCCGTCAAGGAGAGCGACGTGGCTGGCGGACTTCGGGGGTCATCGAAGGGGATGATCCCCGAAGCTTCTGAGCGTGTCCGGGCAGGGAGAGCATCGTGCGAGTCTCTGCTCTCGGTGCCAAGCAACTCGGGCTGGCCTTGCGTGCCAGGCTCCTTCCCGAAGGGTGGCACACCCGTTGCCCCTCTGCCCCAGGCGGCAAAATGCCTCGGGGGGCCGGGGCCGAACCTCTGGTGGGGCCTTCCCATGTGTTTCACTTTCCCCCCATCATTGAGCAGGAGGTTCTTCCGGACGGCCAGAAGGGAGGCGCAGCGGGGGAGCTTCCAGGGATGGCCTTCTGCGGCCTCAGGGCCAGTAACAGGACGGTACGTGGAGCGCAGCTTTCGCTGGAGAACTCAGTGGGGCGGAGGAGGTCGCATACGCCCCACAACACACCAAGGCGGTCTCCAGAGTAAGCCGCCCACAAGTGACAGGTTGCAATCGGCCCCTTGAACTGCGCTGCAAACGTTCTCCTCCATGTTGAAATGGGAGCTCGCTCTCTCGCTTGCAATAAGGGCCGTAGAATCACAAATCGGATGGATATTTGGTAAAGCACTTCTGGGAAAGCTCCCTTTGCCGCATGAAAAAAAAAAAAAACCTCTACGACCATCCTTTGCAAAAAAAAAAAAGAGTCATTTTCAAGCACCCCTCTTTTGTTCCCAACCTACCAGTACTGGGTACGAGGCTGGGTTTTTCCGTAAGGTATTTCTGAGATGAGAAGAAAGAGTCCTTTCCCAGAAGCAATGCATCAGTGGGTTTTGATATACTCTAAAAAAATCCCAAATATATATATATGTGTGTCAATCACAAAGGGAAGGGAAGGGAAATGTTTCAGCAGTTCCTAAAATTCATTCATTTTAAAACTTCTGTTCAGGACCTTTCCCTACTCAAAGCCTGAGGCAGCAACAGCCATTAAAACATACAACTGCAATATAAAGCCAATTAAATATTTTATGATTAATACAAACGGTATTACCTTAAATCACACAGCACCCATTTTGATTTAGACGACCTCAAAAGCTGACTGCCACTGTCTATCTGGAAATCTTCCTGGTAATAAGGAAGCGAGTGAATTTCCTTCTGCAGGTTTTAGATCGCCCCAAGAACTGATGTCTTTCAAAATGTGTTGAGCTTGAATACATTTAGGCCCTGACAAGAGTATTTCCTCCTGCTTGTTTATTGTTTTTATCAGTGCTATTAGTGCCTTGGTCAACTTGTGGGCTAAAAGAGGCCAGGCACCCCGTCTGGCTCCTGAAAACCGCTTGCAGGAGCATTCCAAAACAGCTGCCGTTCCAAAGCATTTTCCAAATGTTAAAGCAATTCAGTCGGCCCTGCGCTCTCAGTTCCACCTGCTGTGGCGCTTACCTGGGGCAGACTACAGTTAGCGGAAGCCAGCTTCATCGCTTTTAAGATGCTGCAAGGAGAAAAGGTCGGGGTTATTGATGGAGTTCATGCGAGCAGCTCTCAGGCCCCGGTTCCCCAAGGCAGGATCTAAACTGGGGGTGGGGGGTAACTTCTAAGGGGCAGGGGGCTGCACTGGGGCTCTGCACCCTGGGTGCCGGCACTCCTAACAACTGGCACCCTGCCAAAATTTGGCCACGCAGCAGCAGGGGAAAAGGCCTCCTCTTAGAGCCACTGGCAGTAGCCGACCATTGGAATTCGGCAGATGCAGGTGCGGGAGAAGAGGTTGTTTTGCTCAGGAGCCGTCCGCTCGGCACCACCTCCCCGTCCTGGGCTATTCTTCCTTGTTCCTGTCCTTGTGCCACCAACCGGCTGCAGCGAGCCCAGTACGACGGAGGTGCAGGCAGTGGGAAGCCCCGGAAATGCCGCGGGGGCCGTGGCTGTCCGAAGTCTTGGTGTGGGCATGTGAGCGAGCGGCATGGGAAGGAACAGGCAACTGGAGGAGGGGGAAGTTTGGAAACCACGGCCAGGACTGGCGGGGCAAGGGCAGAGAAACGTCCCCTCGTTCGGCGGCCATCAACGCGATGCGATGTGACGTCTTGGCTGGGGGACGTGTCTGCTTGCGACCTCCGTGGCATTGCAGATGGATCTCCAAACCTGCAAGCTGCAAGAGCAGCTGGATGCGCTCGCCCTGCTGCTCCTGGCAGCGGGGCTGAGAAATGCACAGCCAGCCAGCGTGGCAGGGGATGAAGAAGGAACCGGAGGCACCCAGGACCTTGAGGGGAGGGGGGGCATCCAAAGCAGGTGGCGCTGTCCGGATGGCGCTGGTGCGCTGGAGGCCACGCGGTGCATGGAGACGGCACATGCTGCCGGCCGGAGCGAGGGCCTTACCTCAGTTCTGTCTTGATCTCCTCGTAATCCGATTGCGCGCGTAGCTTTTCTTCCAGTTTCTAGAGGAATATACATAAAAAAGTGCACGTTTATGGCCTGAAACTAACCTTTGACAGCAATGATGAGCAGAATCCACCACACCATTAGTTCTGCTAAAGGGAAGTTTAAATGTTAGGCATGGCATCCTTGCCCCAAACAAATTGGAACTAACCCAGGGGTTGGACTTGAGGCCTCCAGATGTTTTGGCCTACGAGTCCCATCATGTCCGGTCAGCGTGGCCAGAGGTTGAGGCCAAAACATCTGGAGGCCCGCAAGTTGTCCCTCTGTGGCATAACTGCCACTGTTCGTCTCTGACAATTCTAGATTAACTGAGATTTAGTTATTTGACAAAATACAGTTGGTTAAAGTTGATGAAAAAGCCTTTTGACTAATTTGCCCGAGAGCCAGTGTGCTGTAGTGGTTACGCGTGTGGGGCGGGGATTCAGGCGACGTGGGTTCGAGTCCCTGCTCCGTTGTACAGCTCACAGGGTAACGCTGGGCCAGTCACAGACTTACGGCCCAATTTACCTCACAGGGTTGTTGTGAGGATACGACAGAGAGGAGGAGGAGGAGAATTATGTAAACTGCCTCGAGCTCCTTGGAAGGAAAAACAGAGGGACACCAGTATGGTAAGCAGACAGACAAGCACGGGGAAAACTTATTCAAATCTCAGAGGGGAGGGGAGGGGAGGGGCGGGTAGGGGAGGGGAGGGCAGGGGGGGCGGGGGGAGGGCGGGGGGGGGGGGAGGGGGGGAGGGCGGGGGGGGGGGGAGGGGGGGGGGGCG